TTTCTCTCACATAATTGCTCAACAAGGGCTTCTCCATTATTATGTTAAATAGTAGTGACAAAAGTGGGCATCCTTGACTTCTAGATATCAGAGAAAAGGCTTTTGATTTTTTGCTATTGAGTTTAAGATAGCTGTGGGCTTCTCATATATGACCTTTATTTTATTGTGGTACATTCCTTGTATACCTAATTTGGCAAAGGTTGTTATTATAAAAGGATGTTGAACTTTTCAAATGGTTCTTCTGAATCTAATGAGATGATCACGTGCTTTTTGTCCTTCATTATGTTAATGTGTTATATTACATTTATTAAAATTTGTGTATGTGGAAGCATCCTTGCATCCCAGGGACAAATTCTGCTTGATCACGGTGGATGATTCTTTCAACATATTGCTGAATTCAGTTTGCTAGTGTTTTGTTGAGCATCTTTGCATCTATGTTCATCAAGGATCTTGGCCTGTAATTTTCTTTTCTTGTAGTGTCTTTGTCTGGCTTTAGTATCAGGGTAATGCTGGCCTCATGAAAAGAGTTTGGAAGTATTTTCTCCTCTTAATTTTTTTGGAAGAATTTGAGGAGGATTGGATTTAGCTCTTTAAATGTTTGATATCATAGCACTCAGCAGTGAATTCATCAGGTCCTGGGCTTTCCTTCGATGGCTTTTAAATGACTGATTCAATCTTCTTACTCATTATTCCTGTTCAGATTTTTCATTGCCTCATGATTCAGTCCTGGTAGGTTGTATATGTCTAGAAGTTTATTCATTTCCTTTATGCTATTTAACTTGTTGGCATATATTAATAATTGTTTGTAGTGTCTCTTATGACCCTCTGTATTTGTGTAATATCCATTGTAATATCTTCTTTTTATATTTCTGATGTTATTTGAATCTTCTCTTTTTTCTTAGTTAAGTTAGCTGAATATTTGTTAATTTTGTGTATCTTTTCAAAAAAAGCCAACTCTAAGTTTGCTAATCTTTTGTGTTGTTTTCCTAGTCTCTGTTTTATTTCTTTTATAATCTTTATTGTTTCCTTCCATAATGTTAAATGTTTTTGTTCTTTTGAGATCTCTCTTCTTTCTTGATGTAGGTATTTATTACTATAGCTTTTCTCTTAGAACTGCTTTTGCTCCACCCCCTATGTTTTGGGTATATGGTATTTACATTTTCATGTCTCAACATATTTTTAAATTTTCTTTTTAATTTCTTTATTGACTCATTGTTTATTCAGGAACATGCTGTTTAATTTCCCTATATTTGTGAATTTTCCAATATTTCTTCTTTTATTGATTTCTAGTTTTCTACCATTGTGGTCAGAAAAGATACTTGATATGACTTTAACCTTTTTAAATTTGCTAAGGCTTGGTTTTCGTGTCCTAATATGTGCCCTACCCTAGAAAATATTCTGTGTGTACTTGACAGGAGTGTGTATTACATTACTGTCAGATAGTGTCAATGCTGGTGTATATGTCTGTTAGGTTCATTTTCTCTAAAACATTGTTCAAGTTCATTGTCTTCTTATTAATTTTCTGTTTAAATGATCTGTTTATTGTTGAACGTGGGTATTGACGTTCCCTACTATTATTGCCTTACATTATATCTCTCCTTTCAGATACTTAAATATTTGTTATTTATATTTAGGTTCTCTAATGTTGGGTGCATGTATATTTACAATTTTACAAATTGTTGCAAATTTTACAAATTATTACAATATTACAAATTTACAATATCTTCTTAATTAATTGACCCGTTTATCATTATACAATGTTGTTTGTTTTTTACAGTTTTTGACTTAAAGGCTATTTTATCTGAAAGAAGTGTAGTTACTCCTGATCTCTTTCAGTTTCCATTCACATGGAATATGTTTTTCCATTCCTTCACTTTCAGTTTATATGTATTCTTAAAAGTAAGGTGAGTTTCTTATTGGCAGCATATCGCTGGATCTTAAAAAAAAATCTATTCATTCCCTCTGTTTTTTTGTTGAAGAATTAATCATTTTACATTCAAGATAATTATTGATAGGTAAAGACTTGCTACTGCCATGTTATTAATTGTTCTCTGCTTTTTTTTAAGATATTTTGTTTCTTTCTTCCTCTCTTATTGTCTTTCTTGTGGTTTCATTGTTTTACACTGGCTAGGTACTGTGATGGATTCTTATCACATCATTCATAGGACATATTTCCTGGCAAGGCAATTATGATATTTGGTATCTGAAGTTCAGCAGCATTTCAGGCCGGACTCCAAGGTTAGGTAGACAGGCAAGATCAGAGGCTATGCTCCTTAGAAATGCACAATTGAAGATCACCATCCTGAGAATGGAGCCATGGGTTGACTTTTGGCTGAAGTAAGCAGCTGTTTGACCTTCCTGGTCAACTGGGACTATCTCTGATGCTTCTCCAAAATGCACTGAGGTAGAAGATTCCCTGTCTGGGTAGGTCATTGGTAGGCATTTTGGCAGAGTGGAGCCACTGCTTGACTTCCTGGATCAATTAAATGTAGCTTTTATCTTTCTCTAGGATGGGCAAAGACAGTCATCTACCTGCCTGGGTTGGGTCATTAGGGTGGTCTCTGAGGCCAGGAGTGGAATCTAGCTATCTAGGAACTTAAGCTAGATTGAACTTCCCAAAGTGGTTCTGAAGGAGACCAGCTCAGTTTGTTTTGGGCCATGAAACTGGCTGGTATTTCCTATAGGATGCCATAGCGGGCAGAAACACAGAGGTACCATCGAGATCCATGTGCTGGTGACTATGACTTCTGCCTCCTTTCTTTGTTTCTACCTAATCTGGTGCAATCTAGTTGTCCTCCTATCGTCAACATTCCCTGTGAAATGAGACCGGACTCAGCTTCCCTGGAAAGCATCTTGGAATGCTAGGGAAGATGGATAATTACCTCTGGTTCTCTTTCCCTCTGTGGAAACCATGGCCGAGGAAAATCTTCTCCATCTGGCTTTGTGTCCTTCTTTGGGGGAGGAAAAGTGGTGCCGTAGTCAAAGTGAGATCTTTCTTCTTACCCATCCAATTTGGTTTTCATTCAGTTCTATGGACCACTTAGGTGTCTCAAGCTTGTTTTCAAGTATTGGAGCCTTCAAAAAGACATCCTGGTCTGTGGATAATTGCTGGTTGAACTTTCTGTAGAGTTGAGTCTGAGACTTTCTATCCTGCCATCTTGCTGATGTCACTCCTCTAGGCATGAAGTATTTAGTTCTGGAGGCTGAGAAGGCCAAGATCAAGGCACTGAAAAAGTCATTGTCTGGTGAAGTCTTGTTCTCTGCTTGTTGCTATGTCCTTACATGGCAGAAGGTGGAGGAGTAAAAAGGCCTAATTTTTATATTTTAATTTTTTAGTATTTTGGCTTATTTTTTCTCAACATTTTAATCTGATTTAGTTTTGCCTTGTTTATTTATTTTACTATTTCTTCTCCTTTCTTTTTCTTTCCTTCATTCTTTCTTTCTCTTTCTTTCTTTCTTTCTTTCTTTCTTTCTTTCTTTCTTTCTTTCTTTCTTTCTTTCTTTCTTTNTTTCTTTCTTTCTTTCTTTCTTTCTTTCTTTCTTTCTTCTTCTTTCTTTCCTTCCTTCTTTCTTTCTTCTCCTCCTCCTCCTCCTCCTCCTCATTCTTCTTGTTCTTCTTCCTCTTCTTCTTCTTTCAGAAACAGTCTGTCCCTCTCACTCAGATTGTGGGGCACAATCTCAGCTCACTGCAGCTTCGACCTCCTGTGCTCAAGCAATCCTCCTGTCTTAGCCCCTTGAGTAGATGGGACTATAGGCATGCGCTACCATGCCCAGCTAATTTTGGTATGTTTTGTAGAGACAGAGTTTACCATGTTGCCCATGTTAGTCTCCAACTCCTGGGCTCAAGAGATCCACCTGCCTTGGCCTCCCAAAGTGCTGGGAATATAGGTGTGAGCCATTGTATCCAGTCTGTTTGTTTTAACATGAAGTTCTTAATTTATGTCATAACTTTCAAATCTCCTTTTTTCTCTTGCTTATTCTTATTCTTATTCTTAAGTTTATTTATGTTCCTTGCTAAATTTTATTCTTTTTCTTTTTATTCTTAACTTTAAATTTTTATTTTATGTTATGTTTATGTTTTCATGATGGCAGGCAGCAATGGGGAAGAATCCTATTGGGAGAGGAAAGATGACAACTGAGAGAATCTCTTTAGATGTGATTGTGAAGATAAAAGAGGTTTACATTCAGGAAAACATATATGCTTTAAAGCACTTTACAAAATGTATGTCCGTTTCATCATCAACCTTTTTACCTCTATCAGTAAGATAATTCCTTTTGACTCCACACTAATTATTTACATCTGTACATGGGAATGTGTCTTTTTTATTTGTGTGGTTTTGGTTTTAAAGCATTTAATCATTATGAGACTCCTAGAATTACTATATCATGCACCCTGTGAAGGCAAGTTTCCCATTGAATTTATCTTTCTAAGACCTAAAATTCAATAAATGTGCATTAAGGCAGATTTCTTTGGGAGAAGTGACACAGAAACTATGTATTCATGCTCTATATCTATTGTACTTTACTCAGGGCTAAGACTGCCTTGATGAGGGCAAATGCAGGAAGACTCTGAGCCTATCTGAGAGTAAGTGGTGAAGACTTAAGAAGGTAGGGCAGGAAACTCAGCCAAAGAGAATTGTCAGGAAGCAGAAAAGTGGTTGGCAAAAGCAACCACTGAAGGACTGATCTCACCTCTAATCCTTCCCGGACTGGGGATAATGTAGAGGGCTTATCTCTATCAGATGAATTTTGCTAGCACTTCCCAGAATCATGACTTGCCACTGTGTTCCCATCTGGGATTTGGAAGATAAGGTAAGAACTTTGGAATGGATTCAGGGGACACTTAGTTAAATTGGGTCAAAATGTGTCCGTTCTCCAGCCTCTGTCTTGGCAGTGACACATTGGAAAATGGTTCCACTATGATTGAATAGCCAGGGAAGAGTGGAGCTTATTTATATTCATTCTTTTCCACTTTATTTTCTATAAACTGTGTCTTTTAGAATTAAACTATCGATCTTGCCCAGACTGGAGAAAAGACTGCAGCAACAACTCTGTTTCAGTATTCTGGAAAACGGTTTCCCGCAGGGTAAGTACCAAGCAGTGAAATTCTAGAGCTTTGGAGACCACAGAACTTAAGATGTCATCCAGTCAGTGCTTGGTTTTAACACTTTTGGATTACAGATCCTTTTAGGAATGAAAATATAGGATTTATCCCTGAGAAAAAGGTTCAGAAGCACATGCCAGAAAATGTACACATCCAATTTTAGAACATTCATAGATGGTCCATGGCCTCCAGTTGCAGAATCTTGGCTCTTACACACTTTGACTTTGACTACCAGGAACCTGGGGTTTAATTCTCTGATTCAGGTATTAATCAGTCTTAGATTCCTGAGGCAGTCATAACAATCTACATGTGTAGACCACTTACTATGTGCCAGGTACAGTTCTCAGCTCTTTTGTGTGTGTGTGTGGCGGAGTCTTGCTTTGTTGCCCAGACTGTAGTGCAGCATCACAATCTCAGCTCACTGCAACCTCTGCTTCCTGGGTTCAAGCAATTTTAGTGCCTCAGCCTCCCAAGTAGCTGGGATTACAGGTATACGCCACCACACCTGACTAATTTTTGTATTTTTTTTTTTTTTCCTGAGAGAGTATTGCTCCATCACCCAGGCTGGAGTGCAGTGGCACAATTGGCTCACTGCAACCTCCGCATCCCAGGTTCAAACCATTCTCCTACCTCAGCCTCCAGAGTAGCTGGGATTACAGGCACCCACTACCACACCCAGCTAATTTTTGTATTTTTAGTAGAGGTGGAGTTTCACCATGTTGTCCAGGCTGGTCTCGAACTCCTGACCTCATGATCCACCTGCCTCAGCTCCCCAAAGTGCTGGGATTACAGGTGTGAGCCATCATGCCTGGCCAGTCCTCAGCTCTTTATGTGAACTAAGAACTTGCATCTTCACCAGAGCCCTGTGAGGCAGGTACCGTGAGTATTGTACTCATTTAACACATAACAATGTGAAGGTATAAGTAAATAAGGAATCTACTAAATGTACAGACATAGTAAGTGGCACACGTGGGAGTTTATCCCAAGCTGTCTGACTCTAGACTAAAAATCTAGGCTGGGAAATACACCATGGCACCCTCTACCTATTTTTTTTAATTGATACATAATAATTTTACACATTTATTGGATATGTAGTGATGTAATACATGTAAGGTGTAGTGATGACATCAGGGTAATTAGCAAATCTATCATCTCAAACATTTATCATTTCTTTGTGTTGGGAGCATTCATCATCCCCCACCTGGCTTGTTGAAACTATTTAATATATTATTAACTATAGTCAGCCTACAGTGCTCTCGAGCAACAGAATTTATTCCTACTATCTAACTATAATTTTGTATTCTATAACAAATCTCTACCTATCCCCTCTCCTCCTACTTTTCTCAGGCTCTAGTGGCCTCTGTTCTGACTTTTAGCTCTGTAAGATCAGCTTATTTTTAGCTTCCATATATGAATGAGAACATGTAGTATTTAAGCATCTATTTCTGGCTTACTTCATTTAACATAATGCCCTCCAGTTCCATCCATGTTGCTGCAAATGACAAGAATACATTTTTCTTTTGAGACAAAGTCTTGCTCTTTTGCCCAGGCTGGAGAGCATTGGTGCAATCTCAGCTCACTGCAACCTCCATCTCCTGGGTTCAAGCAATTCTACCTCAGCCTCCCGAGGACCTGGGCCACCATGCATGGGCCACCATGCCTGTCTAATTTTTGTATTTTTAGTAGAAACAGAGTTTCACCATGTTGGTCAGGCTGGTCTCGAACTCCTGAGTTCAGCTGATCTGCCAGCCTTGGCCTCCCATGGTGCTGGGACTACAGGCATGGGCCACCATGCCTGGCTAATTTTTGTATTTTTAGTAGAGAGGGGCTTTCACTATGTTGGCCAGTTTGGTCACAAACTCCAAACCTCAGGTGATCTACCTGCCTTGGTCTCCCAAAGTGCTGCTATTACAGGGTTGAGTCACTGCACCTGGCCAGGAATACATTTTTTAACGCCTGAATACAATTCCATTGTGCACATATACCCACATCTATTTCTTACCTTACTCAAAGATGACTGTGTAAGTTATCTTGTAAGTTGCTTCAGTGTAAGTGGACAAGGAAACATTTCTTTTCAAGTTTATTAGGAAAAAAAAAAGAAAGAAAGGAAAAAAGAAATGAAAAAAGAAGGTGGGAGCAACAATATACTAATTATAATTCTTCAAAATTAAACTTAGACATCTGAGGAGCTGGGCCAGGTAGAAATATATTTGTTAAGTGCATATGTCTTAGTCCATTTGTGCTTCTGCCACAAATTACCTGAGACTTGGTAATTTTTTTGAAAACAGGAATTTTATTTTCTCATTGTTCTGGATACTTGGGAAATCAAGGATTAAGGTGCCAGCAGATTGGATGTCTGGTGAGGCTGCTTTCTGATTCCAAAATAGTGCCTTCTTGCTGTGGCCTCACATGGCAGAGGCAGAGGGGTTAAAGGAACCTAGCTAGTTCCCCAGAGCCCTTTTATAAGGGTATTAATCCCCTTAGGGCCTAATTATCTCCTAAAAGACCCACCGCTTATTACCATCACACTGGTTTAGGTTTCAGTGTAAGAAACACATACATTCAAATCATAGCAGCATATCTGTGACAAGCCTTGAGGAATATTCCTGTGTCATTCCCATTGAGTCATCCCCATAGGTAGTGTGACAAATCCCCACATTAAAGGTGAAGAAACTAAGCCTCAGAAGTGACTCATCCAAGTTCCCTGGGATGATAAGCTGCAGAGCCAAGAGCCTAACCTTGGTCTTCCTGATTCCAAAGCCATGCTCTTCAATTTTGTTCTTTGAATCTGCTTATTAATTCTATCTTTTAAATGACAGTTTGATTTTAACTCTGGGTTGCACCTAGCTAAACCTCTGTCTTAGGGGGATTCATGTAAACCCTGCTATGATGGAGACAGGGAAACAGCCTGGAAGCTGACATAAGGAGACTATGTTTAAACTTGGGCAGATTCTTTTACTCATTCTGATCTTCAGATTCCTCATTTGTCAAATGGAAATCAAAATATGCATGTTCCATGGGGTCACTGCAATGTTTAAAATGAGATACCACTATCCTGTAATGTAACTCAAAATCCACCCACTTTGAAAATAATTTATATTCCACCTGCCCCAGCACCTCAAATGTCTAAGTTTAATTTTGAAGCATTATAATTAGTATATTGTTACTCCCACTTTTTTCTTTCATTTCTTTCTTCCTTCCTTTCTCTTTTTGTCCTAATATACTTGAAAAGAAATGCTTCCTTGTCCACTTACACTAAAATTGTAAGTTGCTTACACTGAAGCAACTTACAAGATAAATAGGTATACACAAACTGAGTACTTACTATGGACAGTGAGCAATCATGGGCACTTTATAGTTTTTGCTTGTTTGCTTTTTCTTTTTCTGAGAATAGTTTCTGTTTCACCACTCTGTGGTATGTTTTAGGGCAGTGCTGTTGCTAAGAACTTTTACAACCAAGTCACATTCTATATGTATCAAGAACATCCTTGTGTTCCCCACTCAGTCCTTGGCACTGGGAGTACAGAAGTGTGCAGGATTGAAGGCATCCTACCCTTGTGAGCTACCAGCACCTTTATCTTTGCCATTCACTCACGGGCGTATGCAGATGCCCTTCTTTTTTCAGACTTATTCCTTTCTTTTCCTGGTAGCAGAGGCAGTGCGTTTTTTTTAATTTTTAATTTTTGTGGGTAGGTTAAACTCATCATTATAATACAATACAGTTGGATAATGTGGAGGGAATGTAAGATGCTGTCAGAGTCAGCGAAGGGTACCTGAGCTAGTTCCAGGGTCTGGGGAGGCCTCCTGGAGGGAACATATAGGCCACTTTATTTTGTTCATTTTTTCCAAAGCCTAACAAAGATTCCTGCTGAATGTTTGTTGCATGAAGAAATAAGACTCTTTGCTCAAGCATATTTATTCATTCATTTATTCAGTCCTCCTTTCTCTCTGTGCCTTTCCAGGCCTGAGGGTCCCCTCTTCTCTCCTCGGTTTCCCCTTTTGTGGTGTTCCCATTTCCCTTGTCTCTGAATCATCCACCTGCTCCCACTAAACAAGTGTAATGTTTACAGTGCCTGTTACTGAGAAAACACTTTCATCTTCCCTCTTTAGACATTCCTCTTATTCATCTGGACTTCTAGCTTCTGAGCCACTGAATTTAGCAGCTCTATGAACTACAACATTGAACATTGTTCACTTACAGATTGGAGCAACTGCTTCAAGAATTCTGATATGAAGCGTAATCTGTTCAGTGGCTTGGAATGAAAATTACGTAGATCTGACACTCCTGTGCTAAAACCATATAGAACATCTTTGCTTAACTAGCTATTGCTAAGTATTGTTCTGAATGAAACTGCTGGAGCATGATGATCAAGTTTTCATGATGAATGGTGGATATTTCTTTTTTTTTTTAAGTTTGCAGAAACTGCTTGTGGTGTGGTCCATGTGATGCTCAATGGGTCCCGCAGTAAAATCTTTGACAAAAACAGGTACACATTTATTTTGCATCCCGTTTGCAAGTATACTGTTGCAAATTTTGCAGTGGATATGTCATCCCTAGAAAGAATATGCTTTTCATGTTTCAGGTCAGTTCTGAAGATCTGAGCCAAAAAAGGTAAACATTTTGAATTCTATGGAGAGAGTTGTCTCCTAAGTCAATGCTTTTGTCTGATTTCTTCTTTGCCAAAAATCCTCTACCAGGTTCTAATGGCCACTGCACTTTATCTATCTCCTGCTCTTAACTTCTCCAGATATGGTGTAATTTTCTTAGCTTTCTCTCCCGTTACATTCCACCCTACCCATTGATCACCGTTGTTCACAGTGTTCCCCCATATGACCTGCTTCTCCTGCTTCCTTCTGTCTAAACCCTCACCATCCATGAAGACCTGCCTTACCTCCCCTTTCCTCCAGGAAGGGTGTAGTAATCTCAGTTAAGTAGTATCCCAATTCAGTAGTAAAACCATTACTGGGAACATTGGGGACTGTGCTGGGCTCCTGGCCTTCACTGTCTTTTTGCAGACATTGTTAGCAATGTGCTATAGTGGTTAAAAGCAGGTACTGGAGGTGATTACATATTATCTCTGTGACCTTAGGTGGGGCACTCAACCTCTGTAAGCCCCTGTATATGTACCTGAAGAGGTGATGGTGATGGGAAGATTAACTGAGACAATGGATGAAAAATGCTGAGCTCTGTGCCTGACAACAGAGAAAGTGCTCAGTAAGAATCAGCTGTCATTCTCATTTGATGATCCTCACCAGTGAATCTGGCCACACCTGTGTCTTCTTGTCTGATCTCCTACACTTACAGTTTTTACTGCATCAATTGCCTTTTTGGTCTTTGCTCTCTAATTTTTGTTCTCTAATTCCACATAAGGCTGACTGAAAGGAGGAAGCGTATATTAATCTGCCTTGGAAACTCTAGGTGCTCCACATAATTTTTCTTCTCTCCTATTTTGATATTTAATTATACAAGGAAGCATTTGTCCTTTTTTCTTCTGATCCCAGTTTTTTGGGTGAAAGCATTGACATTTCAGAACTTTATGATCTGATATTATGGTTTAAGTACTGGAGTGTCAGTTGCCAGAGACTAACATGGAAGAGTTTAGGAATGGGATTAGGGCAGGCCACTGTGGTCTTTCAAAGCACTGCCTCTCAAACTTTGCTGAGCATGGGAATCACTTGGGGATCGTTCAACTGCAGATCATTTCAGCAGGTGGTGGTGGCTGAAGTTCTACATTTCTAATGAGATCCCAGGTGATGTTCATTAGGTTGGTCTAAGGACCACTCTTCAAATAGCAAGTATTTAAGGAATCAACATAATTGCACAATTTAAGAATTTTATTTTGAGAATCTTGTTAATCGAGGGTCATGCAGAATAAGAAAATGTTATTAATTTGCAATTTGATGAGTCAACTCCAAAGGATAGGTCCTAGCCAGCGCCATCCTGCCTGCTGATTTTTAAGGGAGCATGGGTGCTTTAGTTTGGGGTTGACGGTGTTCTTTGCTTCTTCTATTTTAGCACTTTTGGGAGTGTGGAAGTCTATAGTTTGCAACCAGAGAAGGTTCACACACTAGAGGCCTGGGTGATGCATGATGGAAGAGGAGATTCCAGGTATATGTTACTACTTTGTACCCAAGGGATATTTCATGAATCAGTTCATGAAAGAATCCACAGTGACAAGAACTCACTGGGAGAAAACTGACTCAGAAAATGAATGTACATGAATCTCATCCCAACAGCCTCTTAACTTTATTTCTACAAAGGATATTTACCTGCTTCACACTTCAACTCTCCTGCTGATCCGGGAGCTCTTAGACACTGGGCTTCTGCTTTGCCTTTTTATCTAAAGGTCTTGTCCAGGGCCTGCTACAAAAACAAACAGACTCAAAACATGTTTGTGAGGTCTTGTAATATTCTACTTTCTTCTTCCTTCCCCAGAGACTTATGCCAGGATCCCTCCATAAAAGAGCTGGAATTGATTATAAGCAAAAGGAACATTACATTTTTCTGCAAGAATATCTACAGGTAATTGATTTCTTCTTGAAGAAAAAAAAATGACTGTCTTGCCATCTGTAGAATTTCCTTTTATCCTCAGCCTCCTCTGAGCTTGGAGGGCTGTGGGAATCTTCCTTGGGGCTTGATGATGATCTCAGATGGCAACCTCTGGTGATTTCTGTCCCTCCTTCCAAGCCTAGTCCAGAAGGTTTTCTTAGCTAGTGGCCTTCACTTGGCCACCTTTCCCCAACCTTCTCTACTGGTCCCAAGTAGGACTTGCCTCTAAAGCTGACACAACCTTTGACAGCCTATTTACTGGTTCCCAGTGTGAGTGGCCCAGCCCAGGGTTCACTGGCCCGCTAGTTTCAAGAGAGCAAGGGAACGATTTGCTAAGCCCTTTCTCCCAAGCTGTAAAATCTTTGTGACTTGACATCATTTTGCATCCGAAGCTTCCTTAGGTGGATCTTAGTACAAATACCTAACATGCGATAAGGTGTCATATGGCAGTCTACAAAGATCTGTCTTTTTTAATAAAAAAATTATTTTAAAAATTTTACTAATAATTTGTATTTATTAGAAAACAGTTTAAAATTACAGATAGATATATATTTTTAAAGTCACCTATAATTCTAGTTTCAAAACTAAGACCCCCTCACTCATTTTTAAGCAGTTGTGACCAATGGTGTAGATAGGAGACTCACTGGTAGAAGCATCTTTGGAGATTTTCCCACATGTAATAGCTTGGAACAAGATTGATATGGAAGGGAAAAGCTATTCAAAGAAGGTAGAAGCTGAGATGCTAGAATATTGTTCCTGTCTCCTGCCATTACCTTCTCCTGTTAACCACATCAGAGAAGCAGAAGGACAGATTTAAGGGATTCTTCTGATAGCTTTAGTTTCCCAAATGACCTGAATTCCTCATTGGTCAGCTTGCTTCTCTCTGGAAACTTCCAGAAAAGGACGTGAGCATTCTACAGCTGTTATACAGGAAAACAGAAAGAATGAATGAAGGAGCCACTATAAAAAAAATCTTGCAGATACCTGACCAGTCTAAGCTGTTCAAAGATGTGTTGCATGGAGAAGATAGAATAGTAGAAACCTGGATAGAGACTGGGAAATAAAGATGCCATTATTCCCAATACTCTTTATTTCTTTTCTCTTTTTAAACATTAACCTTTTTTCATAAATGACCAGAGGGCCTTTATATTACAATTCATCAAACTCCTCATTTGTGTCTGCTCTAGTATCCAAGTGAGCTCACTCATTCTTCATCTGGAAAAAAATATGGGCATGGCTTCCATTTGGACTTGTACAGACAGTGGTCCATGTGGGAAGCAGGTCATTTATAAGCCAACACTTATTTTTCAGAGCATCAGATCATGCGACTTTAAACTTGGGGATTGTCTTAAAATCACTGTTCATTTTCTCAAACCATGAAGCTGTAATATATTTAGCATGACTCTTTGAATGACTGGATCGGCAGGACCCCTTGTTGTGTCTAACTGCTGTGTGGCTTTAAAGAACAGTTGTTTGTCTCTAGGGGAGCCCAAGGTGAATGTCAAGGATACAGACATGGACTGTAGTTTAAATCTCTCCATTCCAAACTTACCTTTTCATTTTAGCAAACTTCCATCTAGCTCTTTTGGTGTTATTGTTTAATAATCAAACACCTCTTCCTTCCAGAAGTATATATATATATATACATATATATGTGTATATTAGACCTATACAAATTAGACTTCCTGATGACTCTAATATTAACCCCTTAATAAATTTCATCACTGAGAGACAAACACTATTAACATGTATATTTCCAAGCCTCTTTTTTTTAAATACACATACTCATGATCCTGATAAAATGTATATGGAATTTCTTAACATATGTTTATATGTCTTAACCAGTGGAATGAACGGTGGATATTATAAAATTAACAGTCAGCACGATTTATCTGGCTAGGCCCTCGAGTGGCATGTAAAAAAACCCTTAAAGGGTACATTAATTCCTTTATGTTGCTTCGAAACATCAGAATGTTCTCTCTCCATCAAAATGTTATTCTCTCCATCAAAATGTTATTCGACAGATGAAAAGTCATGTCCATTTTATGGGGACATTAGATATGAATACTTACATATTCATGGAAAGAGATCATCTTAACAGCATAGATGCTACTACTTTTTCAAAATTGAATTCCCAATTAGAAACTGAAATTAATAAACATAGTCATATTCTCCTCATTTAATGTAAAGCAAAGGTACCTTCAAAAATCCTAAATAGTCTTAGAAAGATTTCTTTTTCATAGCACCATTTCCTTAATAAAGAGGATACTTTGTTTTCCCAGAATGTCTTCATGAGGTGATCCCAGGTTACCATATTGGCGAGGATGGAGTGACTCTATTTAGAGCTGCTGTACCCAACTGGTCATGACAGTTGACTGGGGGTGAGCCTGAGGTGACCCATCACAAGGGTGGGTTCTGACACCTCTTCCTTCCAGAAGCCCAGGGGTGTTGGCAGCTGCTTCTGAGGATCTCCCTCTTCCTTGGCTCATATTTAGCAAAATCAAATTTAAAGAATCTCCTTCCTCACTGTCTACCATCCCCCTATTCATGTGCTAGCCACTCCCATTGGGTCCTGTTGCTTTAACTAATTTTTGTGAAAATAATAGTCATTTTCTTGTTAGATGCTTATCTAAGGTTTGTTCTGTGCAAAGGAAGTTTGGTCTCCTTGCTGAGGGTCTCCAGCCTTTCCCAGAGGGTCAATAACCTCTGCCTTTTACCCTGGATCCAACACTCCCTAAGGAATCTTCTGAAGAGAAGAAAGCAAATTAGCCACAGAAACAATGGGGGTCCCTGGCCTTGGTTGCTGCTCCTGCTGTGTTTTGATCATCAGCTGATAGGGACAGCTCCTCTCCTGACGTGTCACTGCAGGAGATGAATTTGTATGGATGCTAAGTGGTCTGTGCATATTGTTATAGCTAAAAAGGGGATTTCCTCCATTAGCAAATTGGACCACAGATGTATTCTATGGCCTCTTGATTCCTTTTTTTGCTTTCTTGTCATAGACCTGCCAAGTTTCTTCAGTGTGTGAAAAATCCTGAGGACTCATCTTGCATATCTGAGATCTGAGCCAGTCGCTGTGGTGTTTTACCTCCTTGACTCCTTGTAGTTTATGTCAACATACGTGACTCAGCAGACTTGCTGGTGCAGGGCCGAAGATTTTGGAGGGTCCTTCACAATAAGGTCAACGCCAGAGATAGAAGCCTTTCCCCCCAAAGTCTTAAAATAACTTACATCATCAGCATAGCTTTTATTGTGATCTATCAATAGTCAAGAAAAATTATGGTATAAAATTAAAATGAAAGTTTTATATTAATCCTTTTTACTGAAAAATGACCACACCAAACCTCTCTTATTAGAACAGGCAAGTGAAGAAAATGAATGCTCAAGTTTTCAGAAAGCATTACATTTCCAAATGAATGGCCTTGTTGCATGATGTATTTCTGTGCCCTTCTTTTTCCCCTGTAGTTCTAACGTGGGTATCTTTGCCATCTCTGGTCCAAGGACTTCCTGACCTACATGTGTAAATATTCTCTCACAATGTATATTACTCTTCTTATAAGTGACTTCTCTACTGGATTACTGGTTGCCCATAAACCTCATATTTTACTCATACATGTGCTACTACTCCCTGTCTCCCTACTCCATTCTCATTTGCTGTAAAAATTTCTCCTACCATCCCCACTTTCACTCACCATCATGCTTACCCAAAGGCTGTGGGAATGACCTGGGCTTTAATGCCCCTTTTCTAACTTCCCAAGGCTCACCATTTTCCTATTGTAATGGTTCTTGATCTTACAATGTTTGAAGCACATTTTCAAATATAGTCATTTGATTTTAGACTGAATACTTGAAAGGACACACACACACACACACAAATATATATGTAAGTGCATGTGACTGCATACACACACACACACATGCCTGTATACAGTCATATGATATATATGCACACACACACACACACACACACCTATATACATAATATGTCACTTAACAATGGGAATATGTTCTGAGAAATGCATCATTAGGTGATTTTGTCATTGTGTAAACATCATAGATTGTATTTACACAAACCTAGATCGTATAGCCTCCTACACACCTGGGCTACACGGTATAACCTTTTGTTCCTAGGCTACAAACCTGTACAGCATGTGACTGTACTGAACACTGCAGGCAATGTTAACACAATGATGAATGTTGGTATATCTAAACATAGAAAAAGTGAACATGCAGTATGATAATCCTATGAGATCGCCATCATATATGTGGTCCATCATTTGGTCCATTGTTGGCTGAAAAGTGGTTATGAGGCACATGATTGTATATATCCTTTCCTGTTACAAAAACAGTGTCTCTCAGTCCACAGTAATTACAGCATTCAGTAGGTCTTACTTTGGCCCTGGGTCACCATTTGTGTCAAGCTGTTTAGTGCCACATCCAAATCTCTTACATAACCAGCAGACAAAGCTAGCAAATAATTTGGCAAAACATATTGTTTCTTTGGCTTTGTCTTGGCAACTTTCTGTGCCTTTCATAGCTCTTGTTTGGAGGAAGCTCAACCCATGTCTGCACACTGTGATACAATGGGGACAGCATCGACTTGCTTCTTGGTGCCTTATTCTTCCTTAGAACAATTCCTAAATCTGTAACTTAAGTTTCTCAGGAAGATTCCATACTGCACAGAAAAACTGCTTTTATGAGTTTTTAAAAGGCAAATTGTTGTATGCGCTAGATAATTTTTCTGTATGACAGATAAAAATTGTATAAAGTAAAATATTAAAGTACACCTAGAATACTGTATAACTAAGTTATTTTATAAACACATTGCTATTTTCTCACAGTTTCTCTTAGAATAATGAAGCAATTAATTTACTTATACTATGAAGAGTCATCATTTTAATATATATTTTAAGCAATCCACCAAGAACTCAGTAGCCAGCTGAGAGGTGCTGTCTAGAGAGGTGGTGATTAGGTGGGCTTTAGCTCACACACACAAAGCACAACAGGCTTTGAACTATTCCCCAACAGGGCATTTATCCTTGAACTTGATTCAGAGAGGCACAAATTACCATTCTCTAACTGGAATGCAAGTAGCACAAGGCAGCGAAAACTATGCAATTAAGAGGCAGGTGACACATTGGGCAAGTTTATTAACATCTGTGACTCTCTAGTTTGAAATATATTTGTAACAGACAAAAATGAATCATACAAACAATAAAAGTATAATAAAGAGCTGTCTTGAATAATTGTTTTAAAAAGAGTTGTTTCCGGGTTTGAAAGAATTAAGGGACATGTTAAGTGGGTGGCACCCCGCAGACGGCAGGACCTCCCACCTACTGCACCCCATGATTGAGTGAGTTAGGTAGCTGGAGAAAGGATAGGTTACTGTCCTGGTGTGTCTCATTGGTGGAGTAAGTGGGAACAGACGCCAACAAGAGTCCAGTGCTGCTGTCTACAAAGACCTGAGAGTCCTTACTCACACCTCTTTATCCTTTGACACATTGAAGAAGAAAGAATGTTGTTTTTCAGTAGGAGTCTAACATTTGAGAATCACATTATGACACATCTTTTGTTCTCTATTAACAAGATTCACCTTGAGACCCGGCAGGATTTAATGTAATGACAACAAAATGTATGATTCTTTTTTTTTTAACTTTCATTTTAAGTTCAGGCATACATGTGCAGGCTTGTTACATAGATAAACTTGTGTCATGGAGGTTTGTTGTACAGATTTTTTTTTTTTTTTTTTGAGACGGAGTCTCGCTTTGTTGCTAGGCTGGAGTGCAGTGGCGCGATCTGAGCTCACTGCAAACTCCACCTCCCAGGTTCAAGTGATTCTCTTAGCCTCCTGAGTAGCTGGGATTACAGGCCCATGCCACCACGCCCAGCTAATTTTTTTTTGTATTTTTAGTAGAGATGGGGTTTCAACCTGTTGGCCAGGATGGTCTCAATCTCCTGGCCTCATGATACACCTGCCTTGGCCTCCCAAAGTGCTGGGATTATAGGTGTGAGCCACCGCACCCCATCTGTTGTACAGATTATTTCATCACCCAGGTATTAAGCCTAGTACCCATTAATTATTTTTGTTGACCCTCTCCCTCCTCACACCCTCCATCTTCAAATAAGCCCCAGTGTTTGTTGTTTCTCACTATGTGTTCAAGAATTCTCATCATTTAGCTCCCATGCATAAGTGAGAATAGGAGGTATTTGGTTTTCTGTTCCTGCATTAGCTTGTTAAAGATAATGGCCTTCAGTCCCATCCATGTCCCTGCGAAGGACATGATCTTGTGTGTGATACTTAATAAGTGACATAAACATGGAACAATACTTAAAGACTTGATGCAAAAGACCTGGCAGGGTGGCTCAAGCCTCCCACTTTGGGAGGCCGAGGAGGGAGGATTACCTGAGCCCAGGAGTTCAAGACCAGCCTGGGCAATATAGTGAGATCTCATCTCTGAAAAAAATTTAAATGAAAATTAATCAGGCGTGGTGGCATATTCCTGTAGTCTCAGCTATTTGAGAGACTGAGGTGAGAGGATTGCTTGAGCACAGGAGGTCAAGGCTGAAGTGAGCTGAGATTGTGCCACTGCACTCCAGCCTGGGTGATAGATGTTTAGACACTGTCTCAAAAATAACAACAAAGAAAACATACACACAAAAAAAACAACATCAAAAAAACAAACAAAAATCTTGATGCAAAATGCAGACCCACAGAAATGAGAAAACCAATGTTTATTGTTTTTGTTGTTTTTATTTATTTGTTTTTTGAGACAGAGTCTCATTCTGTTGCAAGGCTGGAGTGCAGTGGTGCCATCTTGGCTCACTGCCACCTCTGCCTCCTGGGTTCAAGCGATTCTCACCACGCCCAGCTAATTTTTGTATTTTTAATAGCGACAGGGTTTCATCATGTTGGCCAGGATGGTCTTGATCTCTTGACCTTGTGATCTGCCAGCCTTGTCCTCTCAAACTGCTGGAATTACAGGTGTGAGCCACCACACCAGGCCAAGAAAACCAATGTTTATTATACAGGGCACTTCACATATTGTATAAGCCTGTGATCTCAGCTGCGACAACAGAACACCACTCTGGCTGTGTGTTAGGGCTCTTTAGAGGGACAGAACTAATAGGATAGATGTATTATGAAAGGGAGTTTATTAAGGCATATTGACTCACACAATCACAAGGTGAAGTCCCATAATAAGCCATCTACAAGCTGAGGAGCAAAGAAACCAGTCCGAGTCCCAAAATCTCAAAAGTAGGGGAGCCAACAGTGTAGCCTTTAGTCTGTGGCCAAAGGCCCAAAAGCCCCTGCCAAACCACTGGTTTAGGTCCAAGGGTCCAAAAGCTGAAGAACTTGGAGTCTGATGTGTGAGGGCAGGAAGGATTCAACATGGGAGAAAGTTGGAGGCCAGAAGACTCAGCCAGTATAGTCCTCTTATGTTTTTCTGCCTTCTTTTATCCTTGCTGCACTGGTAGCTGATTAGATGGTGCTCACCTAGACTGAGGGTGGGTCTGCCTCTCCCAGTCCACTGATTTAAATGTTAATCTCCTTTGGCAACACCCTCACAGACATACCCAGGAATAATACTTTGCAGCCTTTAATTCAATCAAATTGACAATATTAACCATCACAGCCTGAAAATGAATTTTCCAAAAACTATCAAGAGCTTATAGATTCTCTAGGAAGACAAGAAAATAGTTTGAAGCCACCTAGTCAAGAATGACACTCCAGATTACCCCACTGGGTTGTCAGGTAGAAAAGTTGCCACTTGCCCTGCTGACACTTGGCTGTCGCTCTATCACTGCCAGAACACAGACGTGGCTATTTCTGGGAATAGAAGTAACCAAAGAAAATGGTAGATAGTGCATGGTGCCTGCTTTCCTTCCTCACCAGCCACAGACTGATGGTTGCACAGGTCTGTTTGGAGTGTAGGGCCTAATACAGGTAAAATGCTTAGGACAGAGCTCAGTTTTTCTGTCTATAAAATGGGAGTGATAAAAGTGTCTATCTTTTTGGGTTGTTTTGAGCATTAAGTAATGTGAGATGTGCTAAATTCTTAGAATAATGCTTAAAACATATGAAGAACTGTACCAATGTTAGTTAGCTTTTTTTTTTTTTTTTTGAGCCTGTTTTTATTCTGGAGGAAATTCCTTGACCAGCCTAACTAGTTTAGATGCTGAGACCCTGAGACATTGGGGGCAATAGAGAAGAGGGTAGAGAAGGGCTTTCCTGCCAACCAAGACTATAGGATCAGCTATAGTCTCTCACAAGCTTTGAATCATACTAGATAGTTAGAACTCTCCCACCTAAGAGAGAAATGGGCCAGATACTTTTCACTAAGAGCTGACCCATCCCAAGCTGGGTTGACAAAACGCAGCGATAGACTCCACTGCTCACAAATCTAAGAAGTTCACATGTACAAATTTCATCCTTAAAGCTGATCAAGAGTTCAACAGTCCCCTTTGGCATTGCCAATTCAAGACTCTGCTTTTCTGACTAGGTACTTACTGCTCTGATGATGGTTGAAATATGCAGCCTTCCTTGGTGCAATGAAGCCAGAAGACAAGATGTGCTGGGAGTAGAAATTTTCTCCCTGTGGAATCAGAGAACTGAAAGAACATTGAGAGAGCAGAAGAGCTAAGAAGAAATGGGACAGCTGGCCCTGACCTTCTGCACAAGAACAAATCTCCCATTGTGAATAATATGTAATAATCATTCAGTTTCCTCAGTGTTGCCTTCCAGGGAATTTTCCCGCACTGGTGGAATAATCAGATACAAGCTGGAGAGAGAGAGAGAGAGAGAGAGAGAGAGAGAAAGAAAGAGACAGAGAGAGAGAGATGCCCTGTGGGAGCTGCTGCTGAGTCCCAGATTCTTCTTAGACACTTCAGAATTGGATGACTTTGGTGCTGGGCCACAGAAGTCATGAGCTTCTCTAGCCACAGCTTGTTTGGTCTGGTGCTGTGAGAGGAAGGAAGCAAGATGGGTTCTCATCAGACCTTCCTGCTGTCAGCCTTTTAGAACACGGGTGAGTCTGTGCTATCAGGTGGGATTATTTTTAAAGTGTGTTGTTTTGGCTGGGCGTGGTGGCTTATGCTTGTATTCCAGCACTTTGGGAGGCTGAGGTGGGCGTATCACGAGACCATCCTGGCCAACATGGTGAAACCCATCTCTACTAAAAATACAAAAATTAGCTGGGCATGGGGGTGCACACCTGTAGTCCCAGCTACTTGGCAGGCTGAGGTAGGCGAATCACTTGAACCCTGGAGATGGAGGTTGCAGTGGGCCGAGATACTGCCAATGCACTCCAGCCTTGTGGCAGAGTGAGATTTCACAAAAATCACAAGCATTCCTATACACCAATAACAGACTTAAAGAGAGCCAAATTATGAGTGAACCGCCATTCACAATTGCTACAAAGACAATAAAATACACAGGAATACAACTTACAAGAAATGTGAAGGACTTCTTCAAGAACTACAAACCACTGCTCAAGGAAATAAGAGAGGACACAAATGGAAAAACATTCCATGCTCACGGTTAGGAAGAATGAATATTGTGAAAATAGCCTTACTGCCCAAAATAATTAATAGATTCAATGCTATTCCCATCAAGCTACTACTGACTTTCTTCACAGAATTAGAGAAAACTACTTTAAATTTCATATGAAACCAAAAGAGAACCCACATAGCCAATACAATCCTAAGCAAAAAGGACAAACCTGGAAGCGTCATGCTACCTGACTTCAAACTATACTACAAGGCTGCAGTAATCAAAACAGCATGGTACTGGTACCAAAACAGATATAAACCAATGGAACAGAACAGAGGCCTCAGAAATAACACTACAGATCTACAACCATCTGATCTTTGACAAACCTGGCAAAAACAAGCAATGAAGAAAGGATTCTCTATTTAATAAATGGTGGTGGAAAAACAGGCTAGCTGTAAGCAGAAAGTTAAAACTGGAGCCCTTCTTTACACCTTATACAAAAATTAACTCAAGATGGATTAAAGACTTAAATGTGAGATCTAAAACCATAAAAATTCTAGAAGAAAACCTAGGCAATACCATTCAGGACATACTCATGGGCAAAGACTTTATGACTAAAACACCAAAACCCATGGCAACAAAAGCCAAAATAGACAAATGGGATATAATTAAACTAAAGAGCTTCTGCAAAGTAAAAGAAACTATCATCAGAGTGAACAGGCAACCTACAGAATTGG